CTTCATTATGTAAATTAATCATTAGTGATTAGATTTATGGCTTGTCAAATCTATATTTATGAATTATGTTTAATTTTATGTGTTCTTAATTTTTTTTTTCTTTTGTTTTCAGACTTTGTGCCTCAATCCGTCTTGAGACCTAAATCTCTCCTCGCTAAACAAAAATGCCTCAATTCCGGATTTCGCTTTTTAAAACATTCGCAATAAAATTTTTTATGCCAAGTATAACATGACAGTATACAAAATAAAATATTAAGCCAAGATTGGCCAATTCTCAAAAGAAAGGAACAAACAAATAGAAAATTATGTAGAAATTTTAAAATAACCAGTCAAATATATTTTTATGATAGTTCTATTGCAAACAACATTAGTGCACAATGGCAGAACAATCATTTATCCGTAAACAACTGCAACACAGCTGCTTTCCAACAACACAAACCTAACAACATCCCAACTTATCCGGATTAGTTGCTGCTCAGCAGCTTATCTGGATCAACTACTTATCAGCAGCTTATTAATAAGCCGCAACTGCCCCAATCAGACCCTTAATAAATCGCTTAAAGAGGACGTCAAAGGATCCAACTATCTAGCGACACTAGAGCATCGAACTATCTAACAATATTTCGGTAGGTCGAATCATAGGCCAATTGAATGAACAGCTATCCAAAACAAAGAACACCACACACCTAGACCAACAACAATTTAACCAATGAAAGGGTATTCACAAGGTCAACATTCACTTAGTGGAACTCTTGTCTGAACTTCTATAAAAATTCAGTGTCTGAATTTCAGGCTGTTTATCAGATTACGATGAAACACCCTCTGCCTGGTTGCATAACCCTTTCTTAGGAAAAGGATGTTTCACAAAGAACCCCATCAAAAAAGTCGACCAAGGATCCGTCAGCTGGGCAAACAATTATAGTCGGCCGAACAAAAGCTAAAGACCAGAATGAGCAGCTATGAATATGAAACGATGTCAGAGACAACTACTCATATGAAACGAAGCCACCAACTATTACTTGGGTTAAACGTTATCAAGGTCTATTACAAATATGTAAATGTGTAATGATAACGTTCTCATTAAACGGGGGGCAATCGTGTAATTTACAAGGCCATTCCTATGATAAAATAAAAGAAGGGTGTTTCATCGTAATCTAGTCAAGGAAAACTCGTGCTATTTGTGATTTCTCTCTCTCTCTCTTTTATTCCTCTATTATAATCAACTCTCTATTTGTAGGCATGACCCAAAGGACAGTTTGGGATTCAACAATTTTAGATGGCATCCTTGCACAATTAAGAGCATAAAATGCTAAATAATAATGTGAAATTTTTAAAAGATACATATATGGGTCAATACATGAATAAAGACAACTGATTAACAATAAGAAAATATGAATCAAGCCAACTAAAAATTTTGTTGGCTACATTATTTTGCCTATCCAATAGAGAAATTAAATCATTATGACACTTTTATCAAAATATTAGCACATTTATGTCGTTAATTATGCTTATAAAATAGACAAGGTTATAGTATAAGAATAACACATATATGACAATAAAATTTATATTAAAAAAATTTTGTAATGCAGGAATTTTATGTTAATTACATTGTATATAAAAATTATATAGTTTAAAAATATAAAAAAAATTTAAATATATTAAGACGAGTTGAATAATGCACTTAGAGAACAGGATCACATATCCAATTCACAATGGTATTTGCCCAACTCAAAGGCACCTTTTCATACTGAGATGCTTGGCTCAAGGATACTCTCCCAATTCAGATGCCTTTCATAACCATATATGGACTCACTCTTCCAACTTTGGAGCAATTCGTCCTACCTAAGATGTTCATCACCAGAACCTAAGGAGTATGGTTTTAAAAATTGAATCTGACCAGATTGATCAACAGATTAAACCAAGAGCCCTTCATACGTCTAATTCCAATTCTTAAGAAAAATCATCTTCATCATTGAACTGTCTAGAATCATCTTGAACAGATGTTTTGATCAGTGAACCATAACCAATTGGAAAAATCAACAAGCTCCTTCAAGTTTTATAAAAAAATTCCTCGTTCAATATTTGAGGTATTAATTAGCAAACCAAAACCAATATTCGCGCCCGCGAAGTATGTCTTCTTTCGGCAAATTATTGATGTACATGCTCCCAAGAAGTTCAAGATTCCAACTTTGGATCCAAACAATGGTTGGAGGTTATGACCATATTGCATCATTTGAGTTGGATATATACCCTCTCAAAGTTTCTGACGAATTAAAATATCAACTATTCTACACAACGCTTATGGATTCATCCTTCAGACGGTTCAATGCACTTTCCATCGGTATTATTGCTTCCTTTGGAGATTTCAAAAAGTTACAAGGAGTCAAAATCCTTGTGACACGTGAAGCAGTGACGGAAAAAAAGCTTACAGGAATACGCTAATCAGTTCCAAAAGGAGATGCTTGAGATATGGTATCTGGAGATGGTGATTGCTCAAACCACACTGACAAAATAGTTGAAGAGCTTTCAGTTCAAGTTATTCCAAAGTTTGAGAAAACCTAAATGTCCACATCACAGTGAAGGAGCACGTGAAATCACATGTTTCAAAAGGCAAGAAGTTCAACTGATAGTCGGGTAAGAAAGGCTCGTGAGATGATGGGTGGAGGAAAAAGGATGACCCTCAACCTAAACATGAAAGAAGTCGGTTGTCCCATAGATATAGGGAAGAAAACCAAAATACACGAAAATGCAGGAAATCAAATTATCGCTCAGCTGCCGATCAAGGAATGTTGAGAAACATGCAGCTAAGGATCTCAATGGTAGAACTCATGGAGGCTATTCAGAACAAGGAATACATCTAAAAGGCCCCACCGATGGAAGCCTGAGCCTTCCTCTATAACTCCAACAAGTACTGCAAGTACCACAAAGACCACGATGGCGATACAAAAAAGTGCAGACACCTCTAAAGTTTGGAAGAAAAGCTTATATGTGCTAGAAAGCTCAAAGAGTTTGTGGCCTCCGAAGTGCACACACGGAGGTAGGGGAAGACACCTACAGAAGATTACTCAAATGGACCTGTCTAAGTTAATGTTATCCACATTGCAGGGATAGTACTAGAAATACTAGGAAAAAATTTGGTCAGAAGACCTGACAAAAAGAGGAGCTGAACAGAAGAATACTGTGTTGTCGCCTCCACCTCAAAAAAGAAGCCCCATCGCCAATCATTTTTATTGGCACCGGCCTATCCCCCTACAGGGATTTCTTACGTTGATGTCATTATCATTATGACATGATTAACAACTGTCAGGTGGATAGTATTCTTGTTGACACGGGTATCTTGGTAAGATAAGAAAGAACATATTGTAGCAGATCATTTACAGAAACTAAATTTTGAGCCCTCGTCACAACCATGATAGGATTAAATCGGCTATGACCTTTACTTTACGAACTGACCACCGCATCATTAACATCGACCATGTTCTATAGCGACAACACCTCCACCATAGCCCTAGCTTACAACCAAGTTTTTCCTACTCACACTAAACACATAGAAGTGGGCCATCACTTCATCAGAGATAATCTAAAAACTAACAAAATCTCAAATCAACATATCATGACCGAACATCAACTCGCAGACATACTCATGAACTCTTTCATGATAGCTCGTTATTAATAACTTACCAACAAGCTCATGATCTATCTACTAGATCATCATCTTAAGAAGTGGGTGTACCAACGCATACCTATCCATCGCTCCATTGCTCATCGGCAAAGATCGCCTCCTCTCCCTAAGAGTCGTATTGCTAGGAGGAAGAAGGAAGGCTAGGGAACACTTCGTAACAACCTGCACTATATTATATGGCTCTTCTTTTATATATATTTTAGACTTTCTGTCGTTCTGCTTTACCTATAAATAAATGTAAACAATACTATTTTTTTGGTATATCAAGAGAAATAGAAATTACTATTACAGTAAGTACTGAGTCTTTTTTTTCGAACTGTGAGTGAGAGCTAGAGATTATCTTCAATCTCTCCCCATACTCCACTTACCAACAAATCACTTAAAACTATTTTTTGTTGCCAAGACGATAGTTAAACCTTAGCCATAATTTTACTTGAACTTCCAAAACAATTAAAAGCATTAGTCATAACAACAACGTAATTGTGAGGATACCTTATCATATGTAGTCATACCTTCAAAATTTGTAAAAGAAAATAGGCGCGATAAAATATTACATTTCTTACAGAAATGTTTACAATTATATTCTTTTCTTCCAACGTTTCATTTGGTAATATATCTTGAAAATTCTTTTCCGTTAAAATATCAAACCAGAGATTAAGCTCACTACAGCACCATCACAACCACCGCCACTAGCTAGAACCAATGAGAATATTAGAAAATGTGATGGATGTTCCATGTAATATTATTATTATTATTTTATTTTTTTATAATTAAATTTATTGTAATAATTAAAAGTATAAACTCTTTGCAACTTATTTGTATAAAAATTCATATTTTCATGAGATTTTTTTTTTTTTTTTTTTTGAAATAAAAACATGTTCAAACATAAGTAAGACAAAATAACAATACCTAGTCATTAAATTCTTACATTGTGGACAGCAGTTTAATGTCCTCTAGTGCACACAAATCAATAATTACAAGCCTAACTCCGTAGTACAAATTAAGGATAAACCTTCTTGAAGCAATCTGAGAGTTAGGTGCTACTACATATCCACAAGGTCTTCTTTGTCTTATTGCCGCCACCACTTGATTCCCATGTTGTTCCTAGCAATAAACGAGGGGCAAAACCGGTGGTTAGAAATGGTTGGAGTTAGGTTTGACCCACAATAAACTCTAATTTCTATCCCATATATCACCTGAATATTAGAAATCTTCAATTTCACTCCCCCCTCCTCACTCCCTCACTGCAATATTGCAGTAAAACCAAAAGCCTAGGATAACTTCCTAAATTCACACATGCACCCATATTCTCCTTTGATATCAACTCATATAAGAGCTCTATTATGTGTGTAGCTAGGTAGCTGCAGCCCGGCTGCCTAATTGTTACTGTCTTCCATCTCCTTCCTCCCAACATCCATGGACATGGAGGAGGGCCTTCCTCCAGGTTTTCGCTTCCATCCCTCGGACGAGGAGCTCGTCACCTACTACCTTACCCACAAGATCGCTGATTTCAGCTTTGTCACAAAGGCCATCGTTGATGTCGATCTTAACAAGTGCGAACCTTGGGACCTCCCAGGTTATCAGCTTTAACTATCCTCCAGAATTGCATGTATCGGTTCATGTTGAATCTGTGTGATTTTCCTTCGCTATTAACTTACATCTTTCTAGTTAGATAGAGCATCACTTGTAATATCTTTGGACCGATTCCTAATTGCAGGGAAGGCCAGCATGGGGGAGAAAGTGTGGTATTTTTTTAGTTTGAAAGATCGAAAATACCCTACCGGAATGCGAACCAATCGAGCCACACACGCAGGGTACTGGAAAACTACTGGCAAGGACAAGGAGATCTTCCACTATGGTGCTTTGGTTGGAATGAAGAAAACTCTAGTTTTCTACAAGGGTAGGGCTCCAAAGGGCGAGAAGACCAGCTGGGTCATGCATGAGTATAGGCAACAGACAAAATTCCCTTACAAACCCTCCAAGGTAGTAATAAAGCTTTATAATAAAAAATTATATTTGACTTGTGATTAGTTACTGACACTTGCTTCTTAATCATGAGTAATGGCACAGGAAGAGTGGGTTGTGTGTAGGGTTTTTAAAAAGAGCAACAACTTTAATATGAAAAAGAACCAGCCAAGTTCTCCACCCGTGCCGATGTTGCTCCAATCTCCGGGCAACACCACGTCTTTGAGCGAGCTCGGTGAGATCGACGTATCAATCTTGAACAATCTTACCAATTCCACAGGGCCGTTCAATCCACTGTTAGTTAATGCAAATGATGGCAGTTTGAATGCAAATGGCAATGCGAGCAATAATAATGACGGAAATAAGATAGATTTGAACTTGTACATGAACTGGTTGTATGGCCGATCAGAGACTGCGGGTCAGCCATTTCTTCCATGGCCAACAAGCTTGCTGAGCTCGAATTCGGGACCAAATCCGGCTATCCTGAAAGCATTGCAGCTTAGTAGCTACCAGTTACCAATGGAGATACTAAATATGGGATGCAGCATGAACTCCTTCGCTGGGCAAGGGGACCAAGTATTTTTTGGAAATCATGAGCCCAAACATGGCGATGCCATCCCGCAGCAGCAAGTGGAACAGTCCCTGTGGAAAGGATATTAATTAATTCTATTTCGTTATAGTTATTGCAATATGAATAATGCCTCAAATTAATGGACGCGGTATTCTGTGTTAGTGTTGGTCTATGTTTCTAAATGTGTTGTTTAAGGCTAGGAACCAAATTTGTGTAAGATTGTATTTTTAAATATTTATGTAATAATCGATTGTTGAAGGATTTATTCAGTAAGAAATAAATAGATGCTTAGTCCTGAAATGTTTGTATTTCATCTAATTTAATCAGTGTCTGAGTTTTGGAAAGAAATAAAAGTGTGATTGGATCCGCTAATCCTACTTTACTTGATTTTCTTAAGTAAAATAATTTTTTTGCTCGTATATCTCGACCTCCGGATTTGCTCTCATATTTTTTTGACTGAAATACATATGATTTGATCCGTTTAAGGTACCTACGTCGCTGAACATTTTTTTAAGTTCTATGAAAGATTCCCTTTTATTTTGTTGAAATATCTAATTTAAATTACAAGATTTATTATCTTTCCTCTTAAGGCTTATAATAAGAAATAATTTATTCCTAATTATGAGGAATATATTATTTTCTTAATATAAGGAGATATTTTCTTTTCATATATTAGGCATTATTTGAGTCCCTAATTTATATTATTTCATATTATCTTCTAATAATTAATATGAATTAATTATTAAAGATATCAGGTGATATAGCTTTCCTTTCATATTATTTACTTTTTTAATATTTTTTCTATTATAGGATTCTTGTAACAGTCATTTATACCCCAGTTCATATCAATGAAGTATTCCACATTTTTTTAAATTTCAACATGGTATCAAAGACTAGTTTCATAATCTAGCTGTTGACCCTCCTGTGAGAATTGTCGAACTCATTTCCTGCCTTCCTCTGTACACGAAGGGAGGGGAATAAAGAATTGTTCTCGATCGAGAGAGGCGATTGTGGAGGAAAGTGGGACTCCGGCGACACTAACTCCATCTTCCAATTCGACGTCAACTTGACGACTCCACGGGAGAGATTCGTTCGGACACAAATCTTAGCTTCGATCATTCGTATCCTCCCACTAAGACCATGTTCGTCCCTGATCGAGACTACCTCCGCCCGACTTCTTCTGACTAATGGCTTGACTCGCTTTCTCACTCGAGTCGTCGAGCATCTGATCTTCTCAGTAGAAAAGATGACAAAGATTTACCCTAATTTGTCGCTCTCCAAATCTCCTGCACTGTCCATTTCCATCTCCGCCGGAGAGGAGCCGGCCGTGCTTATGGTATGGCAGAAGTCTCTTCTATTCAACTATAGCGGCTTCACCGTCTACGATTCCACGGGCAACCTCCTCTATCGCGTCGACAACTATTCCATATCTAGCCTTAATGAAATCGTTCTCATGGATGCCATCGGCAAACCTCTCTACATCGTTTGTCGAAAGTGATTTACTCTTACGGATCAATGGAACATCTACAAGGGGGATTCAGTAGCGGTGTCGAGGCCAATCTTCTCGGCGTTGAAGCATGTTGTGCTTATCTAATCCAAATCATCAACGAATGATCCCCAAAGGTCCGGTTAGGTTTCACAAACATCTAGTCAGGTCAACCGCCTAGTCAAACTCAAGTCGTCGCCGTGTCCAACATCGAGCAGTATGAGCAGTACAGTGGAGTTCTTTAGCGGACCTCGTCTCTCCATCCCCCGGTCGTCGTCAATCTGACCGCCCGTGAATCTAGGGTCATTACGTGTTCTGACCGGTGAAGAAGACCGCCACAACGACTGCGACTCCTCCTCTTCCATCGTTGACGATGGAGATGTGGCATCCGGAAACTGTTTCCGGTCGATCTCAACTTGCTTCCACCTCTCTGTGATGATCTGCATAGCACCATTCTTTGTCTTTGAGGAAGGATATGAAAAAAAAGCTAAAAAAAGGAATTTGGTTCTCTTCTTCATCGTTCTTCTACTTCTCTTTACTTACACTTATTTTAATTTAGTTATCTCTATGATTCGGCTCCTTGATCGAGATTTGTGAGATAAGCTCAGATCTGAAGCTTTATATTTTAATCTATTTGATGTTCCTCATTTCTCTTCTACAGATCTTATCTTGTGAAAAAAAAAAGAAAACAGGAATCAACAGCTTCTTCAACTAGTACTATTTTACCTTCACCATTGCAGTCATCATCTCCTCCACCTTCATTATTTATATCCAGATCAATGCGAGCTGGACACTAGGCTTGGCTATCCCTGCCACCATGATGTTCATCTCCTGTATCTTCTTCTTCCTCGAGAGCAGATCCGGTTCATCCCGATCATCCCTCCTTCAGCTGTTCATTTTTTTCCTTCAAAGCCGTATTCAGCACCATCATCAAGATTATTTCAAGCAAATTCAATGAACTTGCGAGGGCGGCACCAGCGATACTGCCACCCGCCTCAACATCATCTCGTTGGAGATATTGCTATCGTGGATCGAACACGCCGTCCATTTCTCCTACAGTATTTTTTCTTCCCTGCTCAAGCGTCAGGAGGAGTCGTGTTTCTAACTGGAACTTCTCCAAGCAGCCATCAGAATTGGAGACTTCTCTACATTCTTCTCTGCATCCGACAATTATTGTAGCTTCTATTGTACCTCTCTTTTTCCCTATGTAGGCGCCGCCAGTCGTCGAAGTCAATTTCTGCAGCCTTTGTTGTGCCTTAAATTTTTTCCCTGTGTAGGTGTCTGGTTCACCACACCATTGCCATTTCAGCGGTTTTCTCTGCGCATGCATTTGGGCAACTGCAGGCTTCCATTTTCAGAAAATAGCGGGCATTATTTTCTCTTACTAATAGAAATTTGGTTCGCTAATGGGATTTTTTTTTCTCTCCAGTGCAAATCACGGAAGATCTCCAGTTGAAACCTCAGTTTTCACTCTCTGGTAGAAACTGTTATCCCCCGCAGAACCTCACAGAGCACTAGCTTCCTTGCAGGCTCTCCCATGGTCATTTTCCCTGAAGTTTTTTTTTAAGTCACAGATCCTTCCTGTAGGATCTCCCATCCGTCGGACCTCCTGATTTCCTTCTAGGACCGTTGAAGCACCTACCTACAACAGGACCTATCCCTTGATGGCTTTTCCTGCCACTGGAACTCCTTCCTATAGTCCTTCATGCCGGAGAAATTCCCTCTTGCGGCCTTTCTTGCCAGAACTTCCTGCGGACATATCTGTTGTCGACTGGACCTTCGGGCTTACTCTTGCAGTCGGTTATCTCCCCTGCACCCTTTTGACAATGACTTTATATATGCTTAAAAATACAAGAATTTGATACCATTGCTAGAAGATTTGATTCCTCGGCAACGACACCAAAAACTTGACAGCAGTTATAGATTCGATAAAGATGTATATAAAATATTTAATAATTGCAAAGTCACACTTATCAACGCAAGTATACATATCGCTCAAGTAATACAGGGCTCTAATGGATTCCTAGATATCGATCCCACAGGGAGTAATATTAGAGGCTATGAACTAAGATTTTAGAAAATCAATACTTAATCACAACAATATATTTCAAATTGCTTATCTGTCGCAAATAGGAAATTGATATACATATGTAATTTTAATAACTCTTAAATAACTAATTATACTAATAAAGTTTCTAATGTGAAGTTCAATATATAAGAAAGCATTCTTCTCCTTGTCAAGAAATTAAAGTGAATGGATAAAGTGAATTAGTTCAAATTGGATTGTGTCGAATAGGAGCATACCTATTCTTTACCCTTTGGTCCAAGCATAAAGAACATTGACTACTAAATCTGCGACTAGGCTGGGAGGATACCGACTCTCACTTTGGAGTTTCCACGTTCCCCTTGCTTGAGGGCTAACATCTACACTTCAGCACCCAAACGATAGGACCGAATTGGGGATTTTAGTCTGTCACTCTAAAATTTCCGATTCTACGCCCGATAAATTTTATTTGCCTATTTATTTGCACCCAACTTTCAAGGACTCTCCACTTCCAATGGATGTAATCTTCACTTTAGTTGTAAAACTCAACATATTTTAACAAATCAATTGGCCAGATTGAAAGTAAATTAAGCTCAAAGTGAAAAGATCATCACAACTTTTTTAACATTCTCAAGGCTCAACCAATTTAAATCACCATTTCACAAAATCTCAAGACAAGGAGAAAGACAGAGAAAACTACTCAGAAATCATGGGAAAGATACAACAAAACTCGGAATTTATATATAAAAGCAAAGTCATACAAACTTTAATAAGTAAATACCAATTATCTCTAATTCCTCCCCAAGAAAACTCCTCGAAGTTCCTCAAAATCACTTCCTTTCTTCTACAGCACACAAAATTCCTCTTCGAAGCAGTAAGGAGGAAGAAATATCTAACTTTCCCTCCATTCTTACAATCTCTCCAAGAATTCCTCACAATCTAACCCTAAATTAAACTCTCTACACTCTACACACTCTCTACACCCTCCAACTTCCTCTCCCTCTCTCAAATTTTGACCAAAATTTTCTTTTAAGGTTGAAGAAGAGTTTTCCCAAGAGTTGCCTAAGCATCCCCTCAAAAATCATCCACATTCAATTCACCTGATGGGATAACCACTGATCTCGCCGTTGACGGCCTCGATGGCGCCGTCGGTGGCCTTTAGAATTTATTTAATCTGGGCTCTCGGGAAAATCTCGCCGTCAGCGCCCTAGTTCAAATCTTCATATTTTAGTCCTTTTCGCTCCAAATTCGCTCATTTTTGCAATCTTTTTGCTCAAATGACCATAATTCAACATACCTGCAACAAAACATCAAAAATACATTTTTTTAAAGTAAAATACCATCAAAATCAGTGTAAAATAGGTATGAAAATCTCAATATATTTTCCTTTGATCAAAATCCCCCAAACTTAACTATTACTTGTCCTCAAGTAATTTTAGTACTACATAAAAGTTATGATCTATTGTAGTAAAGTGTTAATTCATAAATACTATGAGTTTGATTTAAGTAAATATAATAGTGAGATTTTCAGAAAAATTCAAGCAACTAAATTAACTCTGTAGGTACAAGACTGTAGGTACAAGAATATCTAGTCATCAAGTTTAAGAGTTCTAGTTTTCTATTCATTTCAAGAATC